CAGATTTAGTGTATCCTCTAATCAATATTAATATCCTTCCGGCTGGATTATCTCAATAATTGATAAAGCCTCCTACTAATAATGCTATGGCCTCCGGGCCAGGCTGTACTAAATTAATTATAATTGACGGCCTACTGGATGTCACTGTAGACGAGTATACTAAATAGCAGCAATCGCGGGTGAGCAACGAGGCTTCCAGGGAGAATATCAATAAAGTACGCGATGTGACCCTTGAAAATTGTCTCGACCTCATATAGATTTATGAGGATCAAGACCCAGGTTTCTTTGTCAAGCAAGGCGTGAAAGTAGGTGCCGCACAGCGGTTCGTTCGTGACATCGGCCTTTGGGTGAAACAACGCCAAGAAGCGACTTGCAACGAAATTATTCCTTTTATAGTGGTGACCCAAAAGTCTAAGACCCCCCCTTATCTACTGCCCCACTTTTTATATAATATTCTGCCAGCTAAAAACTCTGTGTAAATTGTTAAATCTACCTAATATCTAGTATACTACCTATCAGAATTAATAATAGTCTATACCCTATATAGTATACTTTCTAATAGATCCTCTAAGATACTAAGATTAAGTTGTTACTAGGTCTCCTATACTATAGTAATTATAATTGTTAGTGTTAGGTTATTATTTAGTATATAAAGGAGATCTAGCTGAATCTGATAGATTTTTTATTTTAATAATATCTATAGATTTTTAATTGGGTTAAGATCTAGAGAATAAAGTAGCTAAATTATAAATTTACATCCTAACTCAGTAAGATATTAACAGATAATTATTATAGTATAAGTTAGAGTATTATCTTACTAAAAAATTGATATTAGATCAATTAATAAAGTTAGTAAGATTTAACAGTATAAATTAAAGATAATAAAATAATTAACTTCTTTCCTAGCTAAATTAGGGTCTCTATAAAGTAGGATTAGAGGACTTTATTAAAGAGTACTAGAAAATAAAATCTAAAATATTTATTTAACCTAAAATCTAGTATATAGAGTTAGATAAACTTTACTCTATATTACTTAATATTAAGGATAAATAAAAGTATACTCTAGCTAAAGTCTAATATCTTATTTAATAGTATATTTATTAGACTAAAAAATATAATTAAAATTCTCTTTAGTATAGTATTAATATTAAAAAGTCTAGGTAAGTTATTTTTTAGTATATTTAGGCTTAAGATAGGGTTATTTTATAATTTACTATTTTTATATATTCTTAATATAAAGTAAATAAGTAATTGATTTCTTTTTATATTTATTACTAACCTCTTTAAGTAGATTATCATATATAACTTAAGGTATTTTATAAATCTTCTGATAGATCTTTTTAATATTATCTTCGTTAAGAACTTTTAGATATTTAGATCACTTTATAGATTCTTCTTTATGTTGAATTCTTAATTATAGATATATTGTCTTAATTGTAGAGAGTAGTAAATTAGGGAATTTAGCCTAAATTTACTTATAAGACCACTCAGTAGTCTTCTTTAATATAGTAATTTAAGTCCGTAAATTTGTATCTAATTTACAGTTTCGACGGTATATTTTACTAGTTAGTGTAGTAATAGGTGACCTAGGGAGCCTAATAGGAAGTATAGGTCCTTTAGGCACTGGACGCTGTGGTAGAGATCTTACACGCGGAGGTATTATGTGATATAGTAGTGTATATGGCGGCCAACGCGAGCGCGGCGAGCGTGATACTATAGCGTGTTGTGAGTTACACTAGCCTATTTAGGAAGGCAGAGTCTCAGGCGGTAGATAAGGGGGGGTCTCAGACTTTTGGGTCGCCACTGTATTCTAAATACTTTATGTACTGTGATTTGAGAATAGCTTACACTGGCATGGGTTCGTTATGAACTGTAATATTGGGTCCTGTGATTTACTAGATATGGTTAGATTTGCCGTTTTCGGCCAAACGCGCCATAATACACCGTAACACACCGTCTTGTCACCTCCTCCTCCATTGCCCCGACAAGAAAGACGAGGCCTGCCCTCTTTCTCCTCTCTCTCCCTCCCTTCAACTCCTCTCTGTCCCCCCTCTACCTTGCACTCGTCGCCGCCCCCTTTCTTTCGTATCCGCCCCCACCGGCCACAACGCCTTGGTTTTCAGCCGGACGCACTGCCCCTATCATTTTACCTGAGACGTCGCCTATGTCGCTCAATCCGCCGCAGCTCGTTCTCCCCATAGGAAAGAGTAGGCTATGCTGTTCGGGATGATAAAGGATGTTGGATAGCAACGAAGAGAAGGGCGAGAAGGTCTTGGAGGTCTCAACGATGCTTCCTTCAAACCCTAGCGTGCCATCTTCCGAGATTCGGTTGACGGCCGACATTTATGACTAAAAAAGGTCGCAGACACTTATGCTGGAGGTGATGTAGAGCATTGACGGTCGACGCAGGAGCGAGAGTTCAGCTTTTCCTTCACACCGAGACTTTTAGACCATCACGAAGGCGCCCTTGGCCACCAAGGTATATAGGAGTGGTGTTGAGAGGATCTCCAATTTTGATGCCATTTTCGCCAGCCCCATTATTTTCCCACCCCCGCAGATAAACAAGCCTAAGAGTCGGAGGTAATCCAGATATGGTACGGAAAACAAATGCACTAATTCTAGGAACGGGGTAAGCTAACTACTTGGGCAAATTCCGCCCCACATTCCACCTATAAGATAGCCCTCTGCCAATTCAAAACGAATAATCTTACTTGTGGCTTTTTTGTACTCCTGAACAACCCTCACATGTGCAGCCACCTAAGAGATTCTGGAAAGTGGTCGGGTTGGCCTTCGCAATTCTTCTCTCTACCAGTTCTTCCTCCCTGTTTGAAGCAATTCGCTACTGCTCCTATGTCAACGCATATGTTTGAATATGCGGGCCTGACCTTATACTCCTAATCACTCCTTCGTCCTCTTGAAGATCCTACTAAATTTTCCGGCAGCACCTATACAATAATGCCAGTACCGTCGCTCTTAATACCCCGCGACAACAGCAGCTCGGACGTCACGATGCTGACATTTGTTGATCCGACGAAGGAAGTTAACGTGGGACTATGGTGTCTATTTGGCGGTGCCTCGGTGTTCCTGGGCCTGCGGATCTGGGTGAAGTTCACCAGATTACAGGGGCTCTGGTACGATGATTACATTCTCGTAGCATCATGGGTATGACTTTCCAGTCTCTCATGCGCCATTCACACTTCAGTCGATGGCTCCGACGGCGCACTGCTAACAAGCTTCTCGCACACAGGCGGTCCTCTTAATAAACAATATCCTGATATGCTGGGAATACGCCAATGGATATGTCAGCCAGACCGGCGAGTGGGACAAACACATGCACATCATCATTAATATCACGTCGTGCGGCACGCTTATCGGGCAGGCATGGTCCAAGACGGCCTTTGGCGTTACACTGTTACGCATAAGCAACCAATGGCAGAATTACGTCCTGTGGTTTTGCATAGCCTCTATGAATATCTTCATGATCCTCAAGTGTATCCTCCAATGGGCGAAGGTCTGCGATGGCGCAGACGACTATCAGGCGTCGTATCGGCTCAATTTCTGCATATATAACAAATTCCGGAACGGTGTTAAGGAGGGAGGCCAGGGTACGTGGTCAATCCCTATTTGGGAGATGGTATGAGGAACTGTGGCCTGTGAGCTGACAATGTGATATCTAGTTTATAACGTCATTATGGACTTTGTTTTCGCACTGTTTCCGTGGATAATCGCATGGAAACTGAACATGAAGAGAAATGAGAAGATCGCTCTCAGCGCCACGTTAAGCTTAGGAGCTATGTGAGTTCAGACGTCTCGGACTTGCAGCGAAGTCGCTCTCAGTGAAGGATAGTTCACTAAGACCATTCTAGAATTGCGATTCTTACAGCTGTAAGAACTGCCTGGAAGAACGTATCGAACACCCACGATGCTTGGTATTACTGTAAGGACTATTCTTGCTGAGTCTCTGTTTCTATTCAACAGTGCTGATAAGTTGGCGATATATCCACACAGGGAATAACGGAATGTCTAACATTTGGTACTCATCCGAAGTGGCCGGGACGATCTTGGTGCAATGCATTCCTATCTTACGGCCCTTCTTCCGCGAGGTACACACCTCCCGGTTCCTCACTTCAAGGGAAATAGAAGACCATGAGAGTGGACGACATAGTATATTTCGAAGCACAGGGTATAGCTGCGAAATATCGGGGAGGCGCCACTCTTATGGCAGCTATAGGAACGCCTTGGTTGGCGACAAAGGCCACGAATTTATCAAACTACAGAGTGTGCAAGAAGGCTCAGAATTGGAGGCTAGGAAGGGAAGGGGGTCCTCTCAAAATCAGGTTGATCAAACGTTTATAAAGAAGCCTCAGCTTTGACAAGCTGCAGCCTGCAGATGACTAAAATATGCATAAATATATTGAAGGTTCATGAGTTTTGACACCCTTACCCCCCTGGATTATGTAATATTTTGCCTGTTACCAGCCAAAGGCAAACAGTGGAGACCCTATGTATCAAGCGAAGGTATCAAGACTAGGGAAGGGAAGGAAGAGAAAACTATCTGGTGGGGTGATGTTTGATAACAGGGCTTGGTGGGTGCAGAATAAGGTTGATGGGGCGGTCGAGCGAGGGCCAGCTGGTGGAGGTTACGGGTGGAACGGCGGCCGTTTCTGGCGCCAGGGGCTGTCATTTTCGGCGTCGAACTCACAGGTCCTTATATTCTCGTTGTAATTTCCTTCGGCGGTCATATAGTGGCACAGCAAAAGTCTGAGACCCCCTCCTGACCGTTTTAAGATAGACCAGATATAGCCCAAAACGGTAGTGATCGATCACTCTTTATTCCTGAGCCAGAGACCTCGAATCTGCTATTGTTAGAATTTGATGTCATCTCACATTAAAAGCTAGAGTTTGACCATTCCCTGGAAGGACTGACTATTTATGACTCCCATCAGTTGATATGCTTCAGTCTTTGCTTCGCGTTTTCGCGTGTGATGAGTTTCCGTATTTCAACGCAGGTTTTCTCTCTGGGGTTTCCGTAATTCACCAAAACCGCACGTCAAGGCCCATTTTATCCATGCCCAGACAGTGTTAAAAATGCCACTGCCTTCAGTTCCAGCACGAATACGTTCGGCTTCCGCAAATTTCTCTTCAAGTGAAGATACCCTAGATTCCGTCTTAGCCTTTTCCTCTTCCACTATCTTTAGAGTTTCACGCAATCGTATGTTCTCCTCTTGGATTCTAATAATGTCCGTTTCTTCCAATCTCGCATCTCTCTCAGTCTCCAACATCCTTTCTTGCTCTGCTTCATTCTTCGACAGAAATTCGGAGGAATCCACTTCTATAGAGGATCCTGAAACATTGCTTTTTCCCGATCGTCCGTCTTTGCTCTCAATTTCCAGTTCAGATGCCTGGATTAGTTGCTTAGCCCGCTCTTCAACCCGATTCAGCTCTTCCATATTTTCACGAAAGCCCGCTCCTTCCTGTCCTAGATCTGTAGCTATGCCTTGAGTAGACACGATCAGACTTTGCATCGTGGCTTTATTTTCGTCTAAAAATAGATTCAGCAGGGCGAGAAGTGTTGAAGGTGCTCCAAAGGCCCATAGGAGGCGATACAGAAAGCTGAGGAAGTTGGACTTTGCTTCCAGTATAATTTGGTCATTTTGACGAAATATATCCGAGCTTTCTTGGACCTTCAGATAGCTTTTCTCGGTTTGTGCTTTGGCCTTTTCCAGGAGTCGCTCAAATTCCTTGAGTGTCAAACCTGCATGGGCCATGAGAATAAGCCAAAGTTGGAGTGGTAAAAATCGGGAAAATTGGATCATTCTCACCATCTATTTCTTTGATGACTCCCGCGATGTTTCGCAAACCTATCACCTCATTCCGATGTATAGCTAACAAAAGTTGCTTGGCGTATAACGCAGAAGTACCCGCCGCATACGCCTAAAAATCCTTATTCTTGTGGGAATCAGCATAATTGCAGATTCCTCTTATAACAAGACAGGAAAAAATTGTTCATCAGACCCGCTGCCTCCATTTCAAAGCATAAAACGCCGCCAAGATCCGAGCTTATCCGGTCTCTTTCAGCAGCGTTCCTCATCACCTGATTACCAGACGCAATTGTGCCATAATGAATCAACGGTACAGTTGTTTCACGTGGCCTTCGTTCAATGATCTTCATTTTATCACATTTTTCGCATGTTGGTCCGCCAACATGATCATAATCCGCCGGAAAGAGCAAATTAGACCCAGTATTACCGCATGCAAATGCCGGTAGCCCCTTAAGCTTTGATGACTCCATCAGAAATGGAGCCTTTCCACCAATATGATCGGCTCGCAGCTCGGTCACAGCGCTTCGCAGAATTTCGGAGGTGCATTGAGGTAGGCTGTCCTTTTGAAACCATTAGGTGTAGCCTTCCCGATATCATATTGCACCACCCCACTGTGGTCGTTCTCTGGCAAGCTAACCACAACATTTCCAAGGCGAATATCTTTACATGCTATAGGAACACCTCCACCAATACCGATCATCAGACCGAAGCGCATCGATGGGAAAGAATGAATAATCTGCGCGGCAACTACTGAGGCTGCGTTGGTCCCTGTATCACCTCCTGGCAAACAGACGATCACAACATTATGTTCTCCAACGCGACCGAGGGTGTATATCATAGAGTCATCCATGTGACTGTCATGTTCTTCATCAAGAATCCCTTTTGCGGCTGCGAGTTCGAGCGGAAGGGCGCATACCCATCCCACTGTATATTCTTCGCGGGAAAGACGAAGTCGTCTCGTCATTTATGAAGTAATTTCTAGTACCGTGTTAGTGCAAAGGATATATGTTTGGCGAAGCGTCGATGAATGATAGGAAGAATCTTCAGTTTGCAAATTTACTTTTCAATACTAGATGACTTTCTTTGCCTCATAACCCCGCTAAATCGGGCCGATATAATTCCGTCTTACGGCACTACCCCGGACAATGCTCAGTCGCCTAGTGGCTGGGCTTAGAGCTCAAATTAAGTGAGGGCAATGATAATCAGAAAAAAGTAGAATTGTGTAGGTTAGCAAATGAGTACGTATGGTTGAGAGTTAATGAAGTCAAGCGCAACGAGACTCTTTCATCCTATTTCGACTCCTTTCTCGATCGATTATGCCGTATCTTCGATCTTTTGAAGAACAGTCAATTTTAGTGGGTTTGGGGTTTCGCAGATTGACGTGGTAGAGAAAAGGATTCAGAATTAAAGACCTCGACTAGTTTGACATATCGAGTTGATATCTTTTCCTACCTCAAAATACGTCCCTAGATTGAGGATCAATTCTTTGGGTAGGTGAAGGAATGGCATGGTAATTGACATAAGAACAGAATAAGTGATTCGTAGGTAATCCATTTTAGATTTTCTCAAGGACGTTGTGCTGTATCGATGTTTTTCTATCTTGGTGTTAGGGACCCTGTGACATGGGGGGCCGCGACCTACAGATGGGCCACCGAGAGCCAACCGTTCCTAGGAAAGGAATGCAGAACTCAGGCACATGACCAACGGCCGGAATCAGCCCTTGATTCGCCGTCTTAAACTAGACCGTACTAGCCTACGCAACAGTTAGCGTGACACGGGAACGAGCGTTCTTTCTACCGTCACCGACACTACGGTAACAAAACAAAGACTCAGTTTATTGTCACAAATGCCGACAGCCATCACAGCTAGTGTTCTGCCAGGATTACAAAGCGGTATCCCGACGTAGATCAGCGTATCCGGAAGCCATTTTCCGGGAAAGAAATCACAAGAGAGTGGAGGTATAATTGTTTCAAAGACTACGGTAGCGCTATGTCTCTACAGCTAGGCCAGCGTGTCGAAAATGTCCCTCCGCGCTTTTCTCCCTCGCTCCAACAGCATCAACACACCATTCGAGGAAGTTATCGAATCCTTGCTCTGGATTTTCTTCGTAGAATTGCCAATTACGCCGGATAAAGGCCTTGAGCTCAGTAAAAAAAACTTCGATAGGATTCAAATCAGGAGAATATGGAGGCAAATACACTAGCTTTACGCTAGCTTCTGAGTATATCTGTTTAATTTTGTCTAAGTGATAAAGGATATATTATCTATTACTAGTATAGACTTTAGCTTGGGCTATTTCCTATAGTACTAGAGAAGCTACTTGATAAAATCCTTAAAGATAGATATATCAGTTGAACCCTAGAACACTTAAGACAAAATAATATTATTTTGCGTAGAAGTAGGTAGAATTTAATAGTACTAATTATGATAAAATTTTTATACTTAAACTAGTATAGTACTAAGGGATAACTAACCTATTTACTAGAAGCTAATTTATTTATTATATCTAGATTTATTAATATAGATAAAGTAGTAAGACTTAAAGTCTGATATAAAATAATAGTATTTATTCTAAAGGTTAAGGTTATATTCTCGGGTCTTAATCTAAGTAGTCTTTTTTGACTAGTCTTTAGACTAAAGAGTATAACTTATACTAGATTTTGTTACTTAAAGAGTAAATTTATTTTATAGAAAAACTACTATCTCTTCTAGATATAAGGTAGGTTTTTTAATTAGATAGTTATATAAAGTCCTGAGTATAAATAGAGTAATACTATCGGGTTATCTATCTTTATTTAGTAATACTTTGATACTGCTAAATATTCTTATATTAGAAGAGATTCTTAAAATAGTATTCTTGTTACAACTAGTGGCCTATACTATCTTAGTTATAGATAGTTTACTACTATAGATTATATTATAGATAAGCTTATATTTAGAAGAAGCTAGGTTTAGAGCTATCTCTGGTTATACTACTTATAATTGATTTTTAAATATATCTCCTAATAAAAGCTACTTCGGATAAGGGGTATAGAGGTATTATATACATTGAATTTACAAGCTAATATATATTTAAAAATTATAATATAACCTACGTACGAGGAAATACCCACATAACTGTCGGAATAACTCCTGATATAGATTAGTGTTTCTTGGCAATAGAGCTAAATAATCACTTAAAGAGTGTAAATAGTTGTACCAGTTTCGGGAAGTACTATACCTACAGTACTTTTTACTTGCCTACAGTGCCTCTATATTGTAGAGAAACTTTTATATGTCAATGAATCCTTTTATATAGGCTTAGTGCTCTCTTTCCAGATTTAGTACCTGACAGTAATTGTAATAGCAAATACTAAGGGACAGACTAGAGACCTATAACTAGGTAAGACTCTAGATAGTAATCAAAGAGTAGGAGAATCAACTAATAATATATATAAATAGTAAAAGAGACTAATTCTTAAAGAAACTTCAAGAATAAAGAAAATATTACGTTAAGTTATTTACCCTGACTATTACGTAAATTAGGTATAAATCAATATTAAATTAGGTATAAATCTCTAGTATAGTTAATATAAGATTAGATTACTAAAGAAAATATAAAAAGAGTTAGTTATTTCTTACTAAAGTTTATCCTCTTTAATATAAGCTCTATAATAACTATCTTTCCTTCTAATAAAATCTGATTTTAGATATTTATAGTTAAAGAGATATAATTTTTAAAGTAATAGTTTAGTTAGATAATATCTATTAAAATCTATCTAATAATAATTTAAATTAGAGAATTTAATATAAGATAAGATAGAAGAAAACTAAAAAACTTATTATAAGAAAAACCCTAGAAACTATTAAGAAAAAAACTCTTAAAGATATTTAAAGAGAAAAGAAATTAAAATTAGACTTTTTTAAAAAAAAAAACTATTTAAAGATAGAGAAAATCTAAAATTTAAATAAAAAAAAATCTAGAAAACTATTAAAGAAAACTTTTACTTCTTAGACTTAAGATATTTCTTTAAACTAAGTAAAGATAAAAACTAGTTAAAAATCTTTCTAAGAGAGAGAGAAAAAATCTAGAAATCTTTTCTATAACTTAATTTATAAAATACTTTTATTTTCTATATTTAGTATATTTTATACTAAATAATATAGAGATAGTTATCTAAGATTAATTTAGAGTAGTATTAAAGAAGAACTAATTTTAGAGATTAATAGTTCTAAAAAGATAGAGAAAAAGAAAAATAAAAATAAAGATATAAATAAAAAGAATAGATGTAAGAATAAGGATAATAATAAAGTTTACTCTTTTTTAATTAAAGTTTATATTTCTTAGATATAGAAAACTATTATATTAGTAAAAACTATTTAAAACTATAATAAGAAAAAAAGAAGAGTTTAAGAGATTATAAGAAGAAAATTACTATTTAGACTAAAACTCTAGTAAAACTAAAACTTATCTAAAGAAATAGTATTATAATATCTTAACTATACTATCAGTCTATAAAAGACTATTAAATTATTTAATATTAATTATAGTAATTTAAAGAAAATTATATATATTAGACTATAAGTAATTCTCTTTAATAGTAATTTAACTACTAATTAGCTTAGATTTCTAGATTAATATATAGAGATATATAAATTCTTATTAAGATACTCTATTAGACTAAGAGAGTTATTATAATAAAGGGATCTATATCTATTAGGGTTATAGATAATAATATAGTAGTTATAGCTACTTTTTCTATTACTAGTATTTCTTAAGATATTTATAATACCTAGATTACTTAGGGTTTTACTACCTAATTAGTTATAATTTAAGATTCTTATTCTTTAAGAAGATTATTCTCTTATATTCTTAGTTAGTATAATAACTAGTATAATTTTCTTAATAAGAAGAGAGCTAATACTAAGACTAAGATTACTTATTTAAAAGTGATTTTTAAATAAAAAGAAATTAATATTATTTTTAGTTAATAAGAGAATACTAATTTTCTTTACTATCTTAAGATAATTAATAATAGTTATAGTCTTTAGATAGATATAATTAGATTTTTTATAATAATATTACTATAAAACTAATTTAATTTTATAATTAATTAGTATTATATTTAAAAAAGAAACTAAGAATTCTTTAATTCTTAGATTTTTATTAACTATAATATAGAGTTAATTTAGTATTTTTTTAGTACTATATAAGTTACTTATAGTAATAGGGATAGTCTAAATACTATAGATATATATACTCTTTTTTCTAACTATTTCTAAGATAGAAGAGTTAAACTTAGTATATTATAAACTATATTTAATAATAAATTTATAATTAACTAAATTAACTTTAGTATATATATATAAATTAGTATATATTTAGATATCTTTTTCTACTATAATAGAGATATATAATTATATAATAGTTTTAACTTAATACTATAAGTCTAAATCTATAAAATCTAGTTTAACTTATTATCTTTTTCTACTATATTTAGAAAATTATCTTTAGTTTTTTTTTACTTCTTAAATTCTTACTTTATTATCTTTAAACTTTAAATAGTTTAGTTTTATATAATTCTTAGAACTATATTTATAGTAAATCCTATAAAAGTATTTCTTACTAATATTAGAGAGTTAAGAAAATTTATTAGTATTCTTTAACTATTTTTTAGTTTTATTTACTTTTAATTTAATTTTAAATTATTTTATCTTAATTACTTATTTCTAGTTTTATTTTAGTTATCTTAAAAAAATTATTATTTTAACTCTAATTTAGAGTTAACTAAGAACTATTTCTAAATAGATAATTCTAACTTATTTTTTTCTCTCTTATAATTCTCTATTAATATTCTACTTTATTAATTTAGTTATCTTAGATTAAGAAAATTTTATTTAGTCTATAAATTAATAGAACTTTTCTTACTAGTAATTTATTTAATTTAGATTAAAAAAAAAAATTTCTTCTTTTTAGATACTTAT